TTAAAGACGGCTCCCGCGGAGTACGCGCAATTCACACGAGCCGACTTAACTCGTTTCCCGCACTCCAAGTGTTAACATCTGTGTTCATAGCTGGTTTGAACAGGGTATTAGTGAAAACAAGGCACTTGAAATAATAATAATAATAATAATAATAATAAATAATAATAATAATAATTGCTGCTAGCATTTATTATGTACACATTTGCTACACAAGTTTTATAAATTATCTTTTTATATTCTCACAACAAAATTATTGACTTTATTCCTGCCTTGTCACAAATTATGCTGTCACTCCACTCTCTGTTTTATTTGTCTAGTATCTGTCTACTCATCCATTTCTTTTCAAACATTTTTTACAAATATTGAAGTATAATTTATATGGAGTAAAACAGGCAAATCTCCAGTGTATAGATTGGTGACTTTTTACACATATATACCTCTGAGTATCCACCACCCAGATCAAGAGATAAAAATTTCCCTCATGCCCCATTCCAGTCAATAGGACTATCTCACCACTATTCTAATTTCTGTGGGCATAGATTTTTTTTGGCCAGTTCTTCAACTGAATATAAAATGCAACTATACAGTTTGTATGTCGCCTTTTGTGTCTGGCTGCTTTTGTTCCAACTTAATACTTTCTGAGATTCACTGAAGTTGTGTGTCTCTCAGTGATTTTATTTTATTGCTGAGTTTGTATAACCAAATTTTGTTTATCATTCTCATAATACTGGACATTGGATTGTTGGAATTGTAGGTTTAATGAATGTAGGTGGTGTGAACATTGCTATAAAATCTTTTTGTGAACATTTGTACTCTCTTATCATGGATACAGTAATTCCCCATTCAACTGCAGTTTCACTTTCCATAGTTTTAGTCCTATGAACAAGCATGGAATGAAAATATTAAATGGAGAATTCCAGATAAACAATTCATGTTTTATTTATTTACTTATGTATTTATTAGTTATTTTTTATTATTTTTTTTGTTTGTTAATCCTCACCCTAGGATATTTTTTCCATTGATTTTTAGAGAGAGTTGAAGGGAGAGGGAGAGAGAGAGGGAAGGAAGGAGGGAGAGAAACATTAATGAGAGAGAGGCACATGGATTGGTTGCCTCTCCCATGTGCCCCTACCTGGGCTGGGGATTATTGAACTTGCAACCCAGGTACATGCCCTTGACTGGGAATTGAACCAAAACCCTTTGGAGAGTGCGCCCGTGCTTTAACCACTTAGAAACATCAGCCAGGGCAACAATTCATGTTTTAAATTGCGTACTGTTTTGAGCAGCATAATGAAATCTCTTTCTGTTCTGTTCCATCCCTCCCTGGGATGTGAATAATCCCTTTGTCCAGAGTAACCACACTGTCCATGTAGTACAATTAGGTATTTTGTGAGAGAGAGAGACCAGATCACACTCACATAACTTTTATTACAGTACTGTATATTGTTATAATTGTTCTATTTTATTATTAGCTATTGTTGTTCATCTCTTACTGTTCCCAGTTTACAAGTTAAACTTTATCATATGTATATATTTATAGAAAAAAATATTGTGAATAGGGTTTGATATCCAGGGTTTCTGGCATCCATGGGGAGTCCTGAAATGTATCCCTGCTGATAAAGGAGGTTCTTTATATACCTAGAAGTGGGATTGCTAGTCAGGGAATAAGTTGATTAGAAACCAAATTGTTTTCCAAGAATTGTTTTCTTATTTTACACTCAGCCAGCAATGTATGAGTCTTCCAGGTGCTCCACATCTTCACCGACAATGTTACCTTTCTTATGTTAGTCAGTCTCATTGCTTTCATTGACTGTCCCTGATAAAAGTAATGATTTTAAGCATCTTATATATGCAGATATCCATTTTTAGATATCTTCTTTTGCTTACTCATTTTTTAATTGGGTTGTTCACCTTTCTATGAGTGATTTTTTGAATTCTGTAAATGAATTCTTTGTCAGGTGTCTATTTTTTCTCCCAGCCTGTAGCTTGCTATTCTGTTCTTATAATGGTATCTTTTGAGTAGAAATTTTTAATTTTGATGAGACCCAGTTTGTCAGTTTGTTAAATGTTTAATGCCTTTCATATCCTGTCAAAATCCTTGTCGGCCTCAATGTCTTGAATATTTTTTTCCCAGGGGCTTTGTGGTTTTAGTTGTTATATTCTGGTCTATGATTTATCTTTTACTAAGTATTGCATTTTGTTCATTATCATTGTGTTAATTATGCATATATTATTATAGGTTTATAGTATGTCTTGAAAAGACAGTTCAACTTCTTTTCTGATATTTTTTTCTTACTGTGTTGCATGGACTAGTACCTCCATTATAATCTTGTATATAAGTGGGAGAAGGGGCATTTATCGAGTCCTTTTTTTTTCACCTGTTAAAATAATTCCACCTCTCTCTAATGTATCCTTTTTATTTATTTATAGATTCAATTTTCCAGCATTTTGTTAGGATGTTTATGTCTTTGTTCATGGGGTTTTGTTTATTGGTCTGTAATTTTCTTTGCTTACAGTATTCTTGACAGTTTTTTATATCAGGGTTTTGCTGGCCTCATCAAACAAAATAGGAAACATTCTCAGGCTCTGGTCTATAGTAAAGTTTGCATGTGATAATTTCTTCCTTAAATGCTTGGTAGAATTCACCAGTGAAACATCTGGTCCTGAAGTTCTCCTCATATGAGAGCATCCTATATAATAAAAGGGTAATATGCAAATTGACCCTAAGGGTGGAATGACCTGGAACGACCACTATGATGCGCACTGACCACCAGAGGGCAGACATTCAATGCAGGAGCTGCCCCCTGGTGGTCAGTGCACTCCCACAGGGGGACCTCTGCTCAGCCACAAGCCGGGCTGATGGCTGCTAGCACAGCGGTGATGGCGGGAACCTCTCCCACCTCCTCGGCAGCTCTAAAGATGTCCAGCTGACAGTTTAGGTCTGCTCCCTGCAGGAAACAGACCTAAGCCATCAATCAGACATCCCCCAAGGGCTCCCGGGCTGCCAGAGGGATGTCTGACTGCCAGCTTAGGCCCCGTCCTCTAGGGAGTGGGCCTAAGCTGGCAGGTGAACATCCCCTGAGTGGTCCCAGACTGTGAGAGGGACTCCCCGGAGTGCACGAATTTTCATGCACCGGACCTCTAGTTTGAAATAATGGACTCTATTAGAGTATATAGGAATACTTGTGCCATTTTTAGAAGATTGTGTTTTTCAGGAGTTTGTCAATTTCCTCTGTGTTGACAGATTACATAAAACTATAATATCCCTTTCAAAAGCCTATTTTTGGCATTGTTGGTTTTCTCATATTAATCTTTTTAAAAATTTAATTGATTTCTGGTCTTATTTTTAATTATTACTTATACTTTTTTGAGTTCAGTTTTCTTTCTAGCTATGAAGGTAAAAGATAAAAATATTAATTTTGATTTTTTTTCTTTTAAATCTTTCTGAGGGATATGTTTTTGGCGATAAAACCCATTGCTTTACCTCTGTCGCACAGATTTTGATATGTTGTATTTTCATTGTCATTGTAGCTTCTTATTAATATTTCCTTTTTGGATGCCTCTCCTCTTTCAAGAATTAGCACTTGTATCATTCCCAGAATATCTCCAATCATCATTTAAGTTTTTGTTTCTAAATATTAGAGAAAAAGAGGGACGAAGGAGGCTGGAAGGGAGCTCAAGGTTCATTCCTTACTACATTTTCCTCAATTGTTCATCCTTCTCAGTCTGATATATTTGCTTTTGGGTGAGAGCCCTTTCTTAGGTTACATGGGTGATATATTCTTTGAATCTTCACATATTCAAAAATAAGTTTCTTGGACTCTGTTAGTGAATGATATCTTAGCTAAATATAGGACTCTTGGGTTGCATTTCTTTTATTCCTGTAGATATTATTCCAGTGATTTCAGGTTCCAATGTTGCATCTGAGAAAAGCCGATAACAGACTGATTTTTTTCTCTTGTAGGTAAATTATTTGTTTTAATCTGGAAGCCTAAAAGAGTTTCTCTTTTTATTATTTTAGAAAATTGGTACTTTTAATAGTATTTGCCTAGCTGTGTCTTTACAGTCTAGCCTGGAAGTCAGCAAACCTATTCAGATAATTATTACCTCTTCTCTAACTGCTCATAGTTCTCTACTTAATTCTTTTTTCTTTTTCTTTTTTGTATATTAGAGCTCTTGGATCTATCTTCTAAGTCTCTTCCTTCATAATATCCACCTCTTTACATTTTTACTCTCTGCTTTGAAGTACTTAATTGCACTTAATTTCAATCTTAGTAGTGACCAGCAACTTCATCAATTAACCTAGTCAGCTGATGAAATCATGTATTTTATCTTCATGAAGTCTTTTTTATATTATACTTTAACCTCCTTAAGGATTTTCAGTATTTTTCTAAGTTCAAGTGGTTGCTTTTCTCTCCTACAGCTGAATTCCCTGCTTGGCAGATATTCTCATTTGTAGCTGCAAGACTCACTAGCTGTGTGCTTGTTTTTCAACATTAACTTCTTGAAGTTCAGGTGTTTTGTTGGAAAGAAGCTTGTGTTTCGTGGGTCAGTGGTGTGGAAGCAGCTAGACCGCCAGTCCACTGAAGAGGAACCTAGGCCCAGACTCTTCACTTTCCACCCTTAGTGCTCCATACACCCACTGTAACTGCTTGGCCTCTTGGGTACCAGTGAGACTTGGCACAGACTGGTCAGACGGATGCTCACTAACCTCCTCGCCCTGCTCCACTCCCACCGCCATCAGGAACTCCCAGTACACGTGGGCTGGACATTCTGTAAAAGACCTGTAGTCCACACATGGGGATTCATTCTTATTTTATTGAATAGTCATGCTAAGCGTGGTCTTTATTACTGAACATTAATAAAATAAAGATGTGATTTTTGTAGGAAAATTGATAAGTACTTTTAAAATATGCTGAAGTATTTTTAAATTTACATTATTTCCTTTTTTTCCACCCTCAAATGACAACTTATAATTACTTTTTATTATGTGTTTTTAGGTTAGCATGGCCTCATTGAAAGAATTAGACCAAAGACTGTTTGAAAATTACATTGAGTTGAAAGCAGATCCCATTGTTGGCTCCTTAGAACCTGGAATTTATGCAGGCTATTTTGATTGGAAAGACTGCCTGCCTCCAACAGGTAAATGGTTTCAAGTTATCCTAGTCCTCTAAAAATAGTCTAATCTGTCTAGAGTAATAAATATGGATATGCTTTTTATCGATTAAAATATGCTTAAAATGCTTTTTTTTTAATTCACATTTCTCATATTTACTAAAGGATTATAGTATGATTGTAACTTTTTATTAACTCCAGTGGTTCTCAACCTTCTGGCCCTTTAAATACAGTTCCTCATGTTGTGACCCAACCATAAAATTATTTTCGTTGCTACTTCATAACTCTAATGTTGCTACTGTTATGAATCGTAATGTAAATATCTGATATGCAGGATGGTCTTAGGCGACCCCTGTGAAAGGGTCGTTGGACCGCCAAAGGGGTCGCGACCCACAGGTTGAAAACCGTTGGCTTAAACCCATTTCTTGATAGTTTGGAGTTTATTACACTTTTTAGTTAATAACACTTAATGAATTATTCATTTTTAAATTCCAGAGAATAATTAATTAAACCTTATATTATTTGATCATTTTTAGTAATGCATACTTGCTTCTTACGATACTGCTTTATTACATAGATATAATAGACTTCAATAGTTATGCAATGACTTTGTGACCATCATCAAAAAATTTAGTTAAGAAATCTGGGCACTTCTACATAAGACCTAATTATTGGTACTAAAAGGTGAAGGATAGAAGGAAAATGTGTAGGAGTGAGATTAGCAAAGAAAATTGAACTGCAAGAGAATAACTGACACAGTTTCAATATTGTCTTTGTTATATCAAATGAAAGTCACATCCCTTTACCATATATACTTTAAAAATAACTATTGTTTCCTTTGCCAGTGTGGCTTAGTTGTTTGGAGCATTGTCCCATGCACCATAAGGTGGTGGGTTCAGTGCCTGGTTGGGGTACATACAGGAGGCAATCCATCGATGTTTCCCTCTCTCTCTCTTTCTTTCTCCCTTTCTCTAACTAGGATGTGGTGGTGCTGGGGTTCAGAGTTCAAATCCAGCAGGCCCTACCTAAAAGCGCTATGTTGTTAGGGTAGACAAAGAGCCCATTAACCTCCATTAAAAACCTACTAAGAAAAAGACAGATAACCTGGTAGAAGAAAAACTACAAATCATGAAATTCACAAAAGAACTAAAATGGCCAACACACTACTCCAAGAACGCAAATTAAAATTGCATTACATTGTCATTTTTAAAAACTCTCCAGTGGGCAAATGTTAAAAAACTTGATGATAGCTGCTTTTTGGCAAAAGCAACAAGAACTAAACTATCCCATCATCTTTCTAGGAGTGTAAATGGGCACAACTGTACACAAATACATACACATATGTGTGTATGTGTATGTGCATGCATGTATATGCTTATATAATTTACTTAAAAACTCTAAGAATTTATCTTAAGAAAAATATCAGACAAGTAAGCAAAGAAATATGTACAGTGATGTTTATTGAAGCATTGTTTTATATAAACAAAATCTAAAATACTACCTAAATGCTCATTAGTTAATGTGTTAAACAAATTATTATATATCTTTTAAATACTATGCAGCCTTTACAGTGGATGAGATGGACACACACTCCTTTATAATTCCTGAGATTGATACACACACACACACACACACACACACACAGATATTATTTATATATTTCTAGACAAATGCATTTATTATCCTCTCATTTTTAAAAAAGAATATATAATTTACAATGTATACAATTCCATAGAGTCATCATACTCATGAAAAAAAAGGTGCATTTAACACTAACTTATTTTCTTCATAGACACACACTTGATTTGACAGTTCAAAAATGACACCAGATAATCTAAATTTCAGTAAGTCATTTGACTGTTTTTCCTGATATGCTTTTGGAATTAGCATTGCTGGAATAATTACAGCCAGAGTATCTTAATGTTAGTCATAGGGAAGTCTCTAGTTATTGCAAGATTTTTTTTTAACAATGTTTAACATTTTATTAGTTATTTGAAAATGGAGGAGTAAAAACTGTTGCCAAATTTATGAAGATAAATCTAGTAAGGTTAGCTTATCTAGCCCCATTTTACACTTACATTATACTTACAGAGTTTCTATGATGCTTTTGTATAAGCCTGTGATGGAATATTCTAAAATTAGTGACAGAATTTAGCGTTCTTTATTAATTAGTACTACCACTGAATCAAAAATAGAAACTTCAGAGAAATTCTGGTCTCCAGAAAGGGTGGAAGAACCTGTATCAGGCAGGCTAACCCTTCCATAGTTAAAAATTTAAGCACTAGAGAGTCCTAGAAAGTAAACAGAAACTGGAAGGAATGCTTCAACCTTTGAAGGAGGTGAACCTGGACTGGCCCAGATCTGTCTGTATATAGCTATCACCTTACGGCTCCCTCTAGTCTGCAGGAGCTGGTGATTACTACTCCAGCAGAAAGTCACAGACTTGTGCTGTAAGGAATGCTGGCCAAAGAAAGTAATAGTAGGGGAAACTTACATCTAAAGGAAGAAATGAAATCACCTGAAATGTGAATATGTGGGTAAATATAAAAGGTAAACTTCGTTATTTTTTATTTCTAGTTTCTTTTAAAAGAATCATTTGTTTGATGTGAGAAAAATCCCTAAAATTTACTAAATTAAATTCACACGAAAAACCTTTCTTTGTAGAGAACTCCAAGTCCAGATAGTTTTATTAGTGAATTCTATGAAACATTTAAGGAAAATTAATACCAGTTTTACGACAACTTTATCAGAAAACCTTTTTTTTTTTTTTAGGACACTCCAAGTTCAGATAGCTTTACTCATAAATTTTATGAAGCATTTAAGGAATATATACCAATTTTACACAAACTATCAGAAAATATAGGAGAAAGAAACACATTCAGTCTCATTTTATAAAGCCGGCATAGCCCCAAACCAAAAATCTGACAAGGGCATTACAAGGAGAGAAAATTACAGCCTAGTGAATCAAATAAAGCAATATTATCTGTACTGTACTCCACATACATTATGACCAAGTAAGGTTTATCTCAGGCATGCACAGTTAGTGAAACATTTGAAAATCAATCACTATACTAACAACCTTATAGTCATCTTAGTAGGTTCAGAGACATCACCTAACAAAATTCAACATTCATTCATGAGAAAATAATACAAAAAAAGTGTTTTCACTCCAAGACATTATTTATGTAGACAGTCCTAAAGAATCTACCAAACTACTCTCAGAATCAATATACAAAAACCAATTATATATATAATACAACAGCAAAAATTAGAAAATAAGCTCATAAGAATTTCATTTGCGTTAATACATACACAATTAGGAATAAAGAGACATTTAAGACTTATTTACTGGAAATTACTGCTGAATGAAATTAAATGGGGATATGCCATGTTTTTCTATTCAAAGTCTTGATATTGTTAAGAATATTGAGACTTCCAAGAATATCACTTCTCCCAAATTGATCCATAGATTCAGTACATTCCCAATTAAAACCTCAACAAGATTTTTTATAGAAATTGTAAGATGATTGTAAAATCTGTTTAGAAAAGTTTAAGGAATTTATATATCTAAAACAATCTTAAAAAATAGGAAAGTTGTCATACTCACATTAATTGACTTCAAGACTTTAAAGCTACTGGAATAATTGATAATATGGTATTAGCATAAGGATAAACAAATAGATCCATGAAACAGAATAGAAAATATTAAATAGACGCATACAAGCATAGTTGATTTTTGACAAAGACACCAAGACATTCCCATGGGGAAAGGAAGTCTTTTCAACAGATATACTGGAATAAGTATCTATACTAATAGAAGGGTAATATGCTATTTAGACCAGATGTCTTCCGGACATCCATCCGGACAAAGCCACAGCGGCTGCGAGGGCTGAGGGCCTGCGGCCCAGGAGAGGGAGAAAAGCCGCCTGCCCCACGGTCCTGGACACCAGCACCTGCTGCTGCGGCCTGGGAGAGGGAGAAAAGCTGCCTGCCCCGCGGTCTTGGGTGCCCGTGGCTGCGGCCCAGGTAAAGCCGCCCACTCATGGTCCTGGGAGCCTGTGGCCTACCCAGGCAAAGCCACCCGCCCATGGTCCTCTGTAGCTGCAGCTGGCCCAGATGCCTGCTGCCGGCCAGAGGGAGGGAAGCCCGGTTCCCGGGTGCCTGCGGCTGGCCAGAGGAAGGAATCCTGGGTCCCGGGGGCGGGGCTGAGGCAGAGGCGATTAGGGGCGATCAGGCCAGCAGTTAGGGGTGATCAGGCAGGCAGAGGTGGTTAGGGGCGATCAGGCAGGCAGGCGAGTGGTTAGGAGCCAGCAGTCCTGGATTGGGCCTAAACCAGCAGTCGGACATCCCCTGAGGGGTCCAGATTGGAGAGGGTGCAGGCCGGGCTGAGGAACACCCCCCCTCCCCATGCACGAATTTTGTGCACCGGGCCTCTATTATAAATATATGAACAATCATTTCACAAAAGAAGATACATAAATGGCCAATAAATGAATGGCATACAACATTGTCATTGGGGAACGCAAGTATAAACATAATGAGATACTACTTCAAACCTAGTACAATAGCTAAAATTAAAGAGACTGACAATACTGTTACATGTTGGCAAGGATATGGAGCAACTGGAACTCATACATTGCTCATATCAATGTGGATAGATCTCAAAAACATCATGTTTAAGTGAAGAAGCCAAATGCAAAAAAACATCATGTAGGAAGAGTTGATTCCATTTAAGTGAACTTCAGGCCTAGGCTCACTTATCTGTGCTGACGAAACCAGAACGGTTACTGCCTGTGGGGATGCACGAAATTCATGCAAGGGGCTCGGTCCACACAGCCCCTTGCAGCCCCGGCTTCGTCCAGAAGGTTGTCTGCATAGTCATCCGGAAAGTCGTCTGATGGTTGTTCTGCTGTTTGGTCTAATTAGCATATTAGCTCTTTATTATATAGGGTATCCATTTATTTTTAAAAGATGTAGCTGCTTGGCTGATTAAAGTCCACTGAGTTATGGGTGAAAAACAACTTTTG